AAGCTCCATAGTCTTTGTAGCAATAGTTTCTCTGATTTCTTCCATGCCTTTTTCAATCCCCACGATTAATTCTATGACTATTCTAAATTATTTTTCAGTTATATTGCTTATTATCTGTTTTGAGTAGTTCTTTAGCTGTCATTTCTTCCTGAAATTTCTTTAGAGGAGAGTTCTTCTGTTTCGTCATTTTGGCTAGCTTTCTGTCTCTTGCTGGTTTTAAAAGCTTGTTATGCACTCAGCACCTGTGAGTACTGCTGTATTAAAGAAAGCTCTTTGACTATCCAGGGCCTGTCCGTTCAGGAAGTGTTCTTTGAATGGTGTCTCTTGGTCTCTCTTGTTGAGACTTTCGTTATTTTATTTCCCTACTTGTAGTGGTATTTGGGACTCTCCACCATGTGTACTTTGGCTTGTTTCTTGAGGTAGTCCTGGAAAAGAAAACAGACAGACACACACACAGGGAACAAAGGCACAGAAACGCACAGACAAATCTAACAAACATGCAAACTGAAAGGGAAAAAGAAAAAGAAAAAAAAAGGGGGGGGAGCAGGAAAAACAAATAATAAAAATAAAAATAAAGTAAAAAGAAAAGAAACAAGGAAAAAACCCAAAAGACACAGGACAGTCTAAGAGCATAAAACCAGAATCCCCAGCTACAAATAAAGAACTGGATATATGCAGTGCTGATGGAAGAGCATATACAAAGAGAGAAACGACAGGGTGGGGAGGAAGTGAAATTGGAAGAGAAATGACCAGGCAGAGAGACTAAGAGTCTTAATTCAGAGAGAAAAAGAGGATAATATGGTAAGAGGTGAGGAGAAAGAAATGAACATAATGTTACTCAGAGAAACTATATGGTCTAATTACTCCAGAGAGAGAGAGAAAGATAGCGGTGGAGGTGTAGGATATACATCCAGAGAATGGATTAAATGTGACAAGGGAAACTATGTCTGAATAGAAAGAATTGATCTAGAATTAACCACTGTAGTGCATCCTTGTTGGTCTTGCCCCAGGCTGAGTTAAAAAAAAAAAAAAAAACTCTAGCAGGGATTGGCGTGGTTTGGTGTAGGTGGGTCTTAGCCTCCAAGCCTCCACTGCATCCTTCTGGCCACTCCCTGAGGTCCCACCTTGGTGGTTGTGGGGAGAAAAATGGCAGCGCCCCAGTCACCTCTCGAACCAAGCTTTGCAACTCATTCTTTTGGGTCTGATGTCCCTGTGCTATGGACATAGCCAAGGTGGGCCGTGCTCTATGTCCCAAGGCACGCCTCGTTTCCAGATCTTACTCTGCCAGCCCCACTGATACAGCCCAAAATATAAACCCACAGGCCAAATCCCTCGGAGCAGTTTCAAGCTGGCCACCTCCCCACTGGGAATCTAGCTGAGCAAGAAGAGTGGCTGAGCGGCTTCAGGAACCACAGCTTCCCCTCCAGGTCGAGCTGGCGAGCAGAGGAGGGTTTCTCCCTGCGTTGCCTGGGACCAGTGAGTCCAGCTCAAGTTCAGCTGCACAGCTGGAAACCGGATCCCTGTGTGTCCTGAGCCGAGGTTTTTCTCTTCTCCAGGGACAGGGACAGTTTCTTGAGCAGTTTCAGCTGCTCTTTCTTTACCCCTAGACTCCCCGCGGCTCCCCGCAAAGGGGGCCCCCGCCCCTCCCTCCATGTCTCTGGTCCTGGCCCGTTTTTATCTTCCCCAGTTCGCACTCACACTATAAGATTTTCTCAGCAGACTCTGTCTCCTTTTCCTCCCAAACTCCTGGATTCTGCAAGGGTTCCTATGGCTTCAGGCCTTCTCCGTTTGAGAGATGGAGGCAAATGAAATGTATGGAGCGTCCTACTTCTCCGCCATCTTGCCTCCTCCCCCAAAAGGAGTCTCATAGGCAGCATATAGATGGGTCTTGTTTTTATCTATTCCATCATCCTGTGTCTTTTTTAGGAGCATTTAGTCCATTTACATTTGAGGTAATTATTGATAGGTATGTACCCTTCCATTTTGTTACTTGTTTTATGTTGGTTTTTGTAGATCTCTGTTCCTTTCTTCTCTTGTTCTCGCACGGTTAGTTTTCTTTAGTGATATACTTGGATGTCCTTTATTTTTTGCATATCTGTTCTGGTTTTTTGATTTGTGGTTACCATTAGGTTTGTATATAATATCTTCTGCATACAGCAATCTATATCAAGTTAATGGTCCCTTATGTTTGAACCCATTCTTTACTCCTCTCCACCTCCACCATTTTAGGTACATGGTGTCATACTTTACAGTATTTTGTGAGTCCCTTGACTGAATTTTACAGATATACTTATTTTTTTTACTGCTTTTGTGCTTCCTACATTTCTTTCTTCTACTTACAATCTTTCCACTCAGTAAATCCCCTTTCACATTTGTTGTAGTGCTGGTTTAGTCACCATAAATTCATTTGTTTTGTTTTGTTTGCCTGGGAAACTTTCTCTCCTTCTGTTCCTAATGATAGCCTTGCTGGATGGAGTATTCTTGGTTGCAGGGTTTTTTGTTTTTTTTTCCCTTTCAGCACTTTGCAAGCCAAAAGAGAGTGGCATGATATATTCAAACTCTCAGCTGTAAAATCAGCTGATAGTTTATAGGGCTTCCCTTGTATCTGTTTTTCTTGGTGTTTTTAAAATTTTCTGTCACTACTTTTTGTCATTTTAATTATTGTATCTTGGTGTGAACGTCCTTGGGTTGATTTTATTGGGGGCTCTCTGTGCTTCTTGGATTTAGATTTCTGGTTTTCCTCCCACATTTGGGAATTTTGCAGCTGTTATTTAAGCAAATTTTCTACCCCTTTTCTCTCTCTTCTGCTGCGATCCCTATATTGTGAATGGTGTTATGCTTGATGGTGTCACTGAGTTCTCTAAGTCTCTTTTCTTTTTTCTCTCTCCTGTTCAGGTTTATTGCTTTTCATCACTCTGTTCTTTAGGTCACTGATCCTTTCTCCTTCCTCTAGTCTACCATTTATTTCATCTAGTGTATTTTTATTGTCAGCTATTGAGTTCTTCATCTGATTGGTTCTTTAGGTTTTCTCTTTGTTGAGGATCTCACTGAGGTCCTCCACTCTTCACCAGTCCAGTGAGTATCTTTAGGACCATTACTTTAAATTCTCCATCACAGATATTACTCTTCTCATTTCTGTTTAGGCTTCTTGCTGTTATTTAGTCCTGTTCTTTCATTTGGGACATATTCCTGTCTCATTATGTCTAACTTTTTGTGTGTTAGGAATGTCAGCTACATGTACTGCTCTGGAAAGTAGTGGCCTTATGAAAGAGAGGTCCTGTAGTGCCCCATGTTGACCACAGCCTGGCATTTCAGGAATGTCTTCTATGTGTATGTTGTGTGTGCTCCCGTCTGAGACCCTTTTGTTAGTGGATGGGGCCTACAGTCAGACCAGATACCTGCCCCCAGCCTACTGCTAGGGCTGCAGTCTGGCTGGTATGTGTGATTATCTTCCCCTTTTCCAGGACGGGAATCACTTTGGAGTGGTGCTGGTCCTTTTGGGGTTGCTTACACACTGCCAGGCTTGTGGCACCGCTTTGGATGGGCTCCAGCCAAAGGCATTTTGGAGGGGGCCAGTCATCAGGAGAACTTAGTGCATGGCACTTGGTTTAACCAAGGTTGAAGTACATCTGCTATGGGAGGGGACCTAGAGCAGAGGCCTGCCTGGAGAGGGCCTATCTGCAGCTGAACCTGGGGGGCAGATGCAGTTAGCACGTTAGGTAATATGTTGGTGCTGTGCTCGTTCCTGCAGGTGTCTGTGTGTGTAGGCTGGGGAGCAGGGGAGGGAAATGGTGCCTATCAGCTCCTTTGTTCCTGGGGCAGTCTCCCAATGATCTCTGTCCCTCTACCACATACTCTGAGATTAGTTAACAGATCTCCCTTCTGTATCCCCCAGACATTTTTCAAACTGTTGTTTCTATGCTGTATCCCCATGGGCTGTTGTGCTGGTTCTGGAAGGACAGGGACTGAGCTTCCGGTCACCCTCTGGCTCCCCCATAGCCAAACTCCCTAATTTTTAATGTTCTAGGTGTTAAGCCCTGCTAAATGTAAGAACTCATGAAATTATGCCCAGCTGGTTTTCAAAGCCAAATGGTTTGGGGATTCATCTTCTCTGTGCAGGTTCCCCATCCCTGGGGTGCCTTGTCTGAGGATCTGTGTTTTTCCCCTACCTGTACCCATGGCATCTCTCCCTCCCACGGTCTCGTTTAGCTCCTGAGTACATCTCTGTTCTTCCTATCCTCTTCCATGTGGACTCTTCTCTACATTTAGTTGTGGAGTCTGTTGTGCCAATCTTCAGATTATTTTCTGGGTTATTTACACTGATGTAGTGTTATCAAGGTGTTTCCATGGGACAAAGTGAGCTTAGGGTCCTCCTACTCTGCCATCCTCCCCAAAAGTCCCCATCACCTTTAAGCTAGGACTGCTAGCCTGTCTAGCATTCAAATATTCAGACATCCCTTTGGGAACTTTGCTGTCATAAAACCAGGCAAGGATTGTTAGAATGACCAGAAGCTTGCCAACTAACCAGTTTACTTAACCATTTAATTATATTAACAATGCATAGTGATAGACTCTATATGAGCCCCTGGCTTAGATATTGAGGAGTCATTCATAAAAAGTGCCTCTACCCTTGAAAAACTCAGGGCTTGTTGCGGGTAACAGACACAATCTGCAATCCTCTCCAGACCCTCACACTCCTTACAGATGAGGAAACTGAGAGGTAAGTAGTTTCTCTAACAGTATAAGCATCTCTGTAGCAGAGCTGGTCTTCACATTCATGTTTTGACTGCTATTTTCATGCTTCTCACACAAACCCATGCCCCCCCACTCGGGGTCTGCCTGGTTCATCTGAGCAGTCAAGGCATTGGTTGGGATGTCATAACCTCTTCTGACCAAGCCTGACCCTGGAGGGTGAGTCACAGAGGAGGAAGATGACATACAAGGCCTACTGTCTGAGTTGTCCTCATGCCTGTGTTTCCCATGTGTCTGTCTTCCCTCAGCCCCCAAATCAGCAGTCTTAGAAGAAATGCTTCATAACCTAGATTTCTGTGACATTTTGGTACTTGGAGGGGACCTGGACCCAAGACAGGAATGCTTAGAGCTCAATCACAGTGAGCTCCATCAGCGACACCTGGATGCCACTAACTCCACCGCAGGCTACTCCATCTATGGTAAGGCCACACTTGGCTCCTTCACCTGGTGGTCTCCTCTCAGAGTGCCCTCATGCAAGTCATGAGTGTGACAGCACTCTGGCACCTGTGGAATAGGGGTCATGTGGAGACCCTTGATCTCAGAGCATGGACTTCTAACCCCTCCTTCAGTGAACTACTCCAGTATCTTGTAGACCTGGCCCACTTCCCATTCCTGGGGACATCTATAGAAAGTAGGTGCATGCTTTCTCTCATAATGTTTGATCTTAACACATATTATAGCAGCATTTGACAGACTGAGGCCAAACATTCTGGTCAGAGCCTAACGTATTTGGAAAATCCATGGGTCAGTTTACTTGGGTCCTTAGAACTTCTATGCCTGCAAATTGTCTGCCCTTAAACATCTAAAATTCAGAAGATCCTCAAGTTTCAGCAGCCACAGCCTGTCTTCCCCATCTGCTGCCTTCTTATGACAGGTGTGGGCTCCATGAGCCGCTATGAGCAAGTGCTGCATCACATCCGCTATCGCAACTGGCATCCGGCTTCCCTGGAGTCCCGGCGGTTCAGAATCAAGTGCTCAGAACTCAATGGACGTTATACCAGTAATGAGTTCAACCTTGAGGTGAGTGAGCCCTGTCATCATTAGGGAATTTCAGACTCACCCACTTGTTCCCCATTTGTTTGGGCCCCCCTGCCACTCTTGGTCAGCAGCACCTCTCCCTGCTCTTCCCAGGTCAGCGTCCTCCATGAGGTCAGAATCTCAGACAAGGAGCATGTCAGCCACCTTATCGTGCAGCCTCCCTTCCTGCAGTCTGTCCACCACCCTGAGGCCCGAAGTAGCATCCAGCGCAGTTCAGGTAAGTGGCCTGGGAGGAAGGGCCTCAGGATATCAAGTGATCACTGTGATTCAAGACCATCCGCTAACAGGTATGGTGCAACAGCCACAGGGACCCGAGCTGAAGGAGAGACTCAGAAATGGAAAAGCTGAGGGCACTGCCTCTGAAGTACTCACAGCCTCAGTAAGGGGCCTGGGAAAGAAGTACACACAATATATCATCACAAAATTTAGTACAGAGTGCTAGGGTAAAATCTTCCAAGTCTTTTAGGCCTAACTCAGAGCCACATCCTGTGTGAAGCTTTCCATGAACCCCTTCATATGCTCACACTCATGCATACATACACCATATTGGGGTCTCCCAATCATACTTCTAGTCTTGCCGTTTGTATTACTGGCCGGTGGGCACTCCAGCCCTATGAAGTTCCACAGTTTTCTGGCTCTCAGTGGAAGCTGCCCTAGAATTTGAGGGAGGAAAGCAAGAGATAGAAAGAATTTACATCAGATATTTCATTTACTTCTCACCATCACCATGGGGTAAGAATTATTAAATCCATTATACAGGTGAGGAAAAGAAAGCCCAGACAGGGTAAGGAGCTGGCCCAGAGTTCTACAGCTGAGAAATGGTAGGGCTGATTTTAACCTACACATGGATGTTTCATTCACACTCCATCCCAAGACTGGTTTAGTCCTTCCGTTCACCATGTCATGTGGATTCCTTCCTTGTTCCAGTGGTCCCAAGCATCGCCACAGTGGTCATCATCATCTCCGTGTGCATGCTGGTGTTTGTCGTGGCCATGGGCGTGTACCGGGTCCGGATTGCCCACCAGCACTTCACCCAGGAGACTGAGGCTGCCAAGGAGGCTGAGATGGATTGGGACGACTCTGCGCTCACTATCACAGTCAACCCCATGGAGGTGATCCTCATGCAGGGGCTGGGATCTTGGGGCAGGATGCTTCCCCTCCACCAGCTCCATCTTTCCTCCGCTGGAAGCCCTGCCCCAACTAGCCCAGCCCATGCAACCTGCATGGACCATACTTTCCTACCAGCTGCATTCACTGATTAAAAATGTGTGAATTGCTCTCCCCCTCCGAACAGAACCAGACATTTCTTAAGGCAAGCAGCCATGTGTTGTCTCTCCCTTGCCTGCCTCCCCCATAGTATTAAACTCAGCGCTGACTAACACTTATAAACTCAGTATTGAATTTTTGATTAACAGTGTAAATTAGATGGCTTTGCTCCATACTGCCTGCAGAGCTCACTTAAGGGCTCAGAACAGGTTAAAACAAAAATACAACAGCAATACTTGCCATTCGGTGAGTCCCCATTATCCCAGACACTGCACAAATCTTCGCAGCCTCCTGTGAAGTAGGAGTCCTCATCCTCATTTACTAAGGTGGGAACCAACTCTGAGAAGAAAGTAAAAGTGCTCAGTCTTATATAGCTGGTAATGGTAGTGCCAGTATTCAACTCAAGGTTACCAGATCCTAACATTTATAACTTTCAGTTAGCCAGCAGCCTCCGGCATCCACCCCTGAGGGCCTAAGACCCCAGCTCTGGACATACTAATATCAAAGTACCCTGTGGTCTGCCCGTGGGCCCGGGGTGGTGGTGGTGGTAGAGACAGGAGCAGGAAGGAAGGGAAGATAAGGAAAGTCACTGAGAAACGAAGATTCTCCCGGTTTGGTCCCCAGGGTCCCCCTGAGTTGGCCTCATGCTCCAATTTCATAGCCAGAGTGCCAATGCAGCTCAGCCTCTCCTAGAGTGGGGTGTAGGTACAATGCTGAGTGCCCCACTGCAGAAATGCCAGCATTTCTCCCTCAGAGAGCTGAGCCTTAGGTGCGGCAAATAAGCCACTGTGCCTAGAACAATGTGAGTACCAGGCAAGAGTGTTCCTGCCAAGGGCTAACTCGCTGCTTCCAACGGTCAGAGAAGCATGAGTAGGGCGATCCATTGAGGCGCAAGTGTTCAGCAAAGATTTCCTGGAGGAGGTTAGCTTGAGAGAGGCCATGAAGAATGAGGTGGGATGGGTGCAGGGCACAGTAGAAGGGAAGCCACTCCAGAGAGGGGACACGAGCACACAAGAGCAAACATCTTTTATGGCTGTTTCATCAACTCAGAATCACCAAAAAACTGTTCAGAAGGGTAGGGGGAATGGAACTGGAAAAGAGTAGGGTTGAGTTTGAGGACACAAGTCTCAGAGGGTGAAGGAAAGCGTGGAAAATGAGGACCATCCACTTTGTCCTTCCCAAGGGAATATTTCTGAGGGGGAATACACCTGAGTCTTGGCTTGGAAGACCTTCTGCTCTGAGAATATATCTCACCTAGAAACAGGCTATAAGCGGGGCGCCTGGGTGGCTCAGTCGGTTAGGCGTCCGGCTTTCGCTTAGGTCATGACCTCGCGGTTCGTGGGTTCGAGCCCCGCGTCGGGCTCTGTGCTGACTGCCAGCTCAGAGCCTGGAGCCTGTTTCAGTCTGTGACTCCCTCTCTCTCTGACCCTCCCCTGTTCACGCTGTCTCTCTCTCTCGCCTAGAAATAAATAAAACATTTAAAAAATTAAAAAAAAAAAAAAGAGGCTATAAGCTTAAATACCATTCTCTCATGGAAAAGCAAACACTTAAGACTTGGAAAGTTCCATACAGACAGGCTTCAAAAATGCCAGAAAGCAAACCTTAGCATAAAAGGTTCTTTAAACGATGGAAGGGATGGGCTTTGATATCTTGTGTTTAAAACATGTAATTTACCTTGAGTCCAGATCTTGGAATTTGTTAATTCTTCTCTGTCCTTAGCCCTCCCATTTCCCTTTTACCAGAGGACCTCCCCGACAGGAGGCAGGTCTCCAGTCCCACGGATTTAGCGTGAAGGGAAAGGAATCCACGGGGCCCAAAATATTCCCTTAATAGAGGGAGAAACATCTAAGTTCCAAAGCAGCTTTTGATCAGCCCCTGATGAGCATGTCCCTTCTCTCCCTACGTCTAGAAACATGAAGAACCAGGGCATGGGGAAGAAGAGACTGAGGAGGAAGAAGAGGAGGAAGAAATAGAAGATGTGAGCTCCAGCAGCAGTGACTCAGACGACAGCGAAGAGGAAGAAGAGGAGGAAGGGATGGGAAGGGGCAGACATGGGCAGAGTGGAGCCAGGCAAGCCCAGCTGGAGTGGGATGATTCTGCCCTTCCCTACTAGTGCCCATCTGTCTGCTTCTACCCACACGTCCCTTTTGTAAGCCTCACCCCAATGTACACCCAAGTCTATCACATGTCGCCTCTGACTTCTAGGACAGGTCTGGGCAGACCTTCCCCAGTGTCCTGGAAGCCACCCTTTATGCCTTGGGCACTCCCCATGTCCCAGCCCCAGGGCAGTTCCAAGAAGCCCAGGGTCATCATTAGTGGGGACTTTGGGGTGGACTTTGTCCTGAACCCCCCCTGGGCCCACCCAGCATCCTGACAGCCAGTCTGCAGAGTTCTGCCTTTTTTCCTCTGCAGGGGAGAAAGTAAGCCTTTATGTCACTCACCTTCCCCAGGCTCCCCATGCCCAGGGACCTTGGGTTCCAGCTCACTGTGCGTGCACCTGACCCAGTCTCCTCTTCCACACAGACCAGCAGGTTCTCCTTACCTGAGTCTTCAGGTGGCTTCACACAGGCAAGGTGGTCAGACTTCACACACAAGATGTCTAAGTCCTTAACACTTGAAAGTCCGTGTTGGGGCAAAATTAAACGTATAGGGAAAGGTTCACACACAGGCGCGTGCACACCCACATGCATACGTATACTCTCCGCAGTTTGGAGAGCCTTTCCCTTTGTCCTTTGGGAGGCCACATAAGCTTAAATGAAAAGTCCAAAACCAAGAGTAGGTCCCTGGCCACAGCAGGACCTGATCCCCAGCCAAAGCTATCTGCAAACCTACCTGCCTTGGTGCCCTGCTGGGGGCTGCCACCACAGGACATCGCAGGAACCAGGAAACATGCCACAGAGGCACTGCGCCAGGTGACAACATGACAAGCCTGTAGCCAGGGACCAAAAGGAAGGGCTGATGAGATGAGCAGCTGGGCATCATGGTGGGCACAGATCTGGGGGACAGGGGTAGATGGGGTCTCCCCAGTCAAAGGTCAAGAAGGCGCTCAGCATCTAGTCTAGGGTCCGTCATCACCCGTTTCACCCTGTTTTTCCTCTTAAGAAAATACATTCCTTTTGGATGTCTTAGAACAAGATTGAACTGTGCCGAATCTAAAATGAAAGTTTGGAGATTTGAATGCTAGGAATTAGAAGCACATCTGTGGTATAACAGCCGCTGCTTTATTCTCATAAAAGGAGCAATGCTTTGGGTGGAGAGCAAATAGATCTGAAAACCTAATTTCTTTCTTATTTTAATAAGAAAATCTTTTCCACCTCCATCCTAATGTGGACACCTCATAAGGAGAACTGTTGCTATAGTAACTCATCTGTGCTCTTTTGTGACCAAGAGAATTGCAGGCAAGAAACAGGCCATTCTAGGACTTCCACAAGGCTCTGAGACCATCTTTGTTTTGAATGTCTCTGCCTTTGTCTTCGGTATGTACAATCTGTTCTCATCCTTCCAACCTCCCCCACTCCGCATATTGGCATAGGCACAGAGCTGGCCCCTAGTCACAGTGGCATTCAGGTTCAAAAGAAAGTTGAGAATCTGTTCATTCTATTTACCATGTCACCAAAACAGAGCATAAAGGGGACCATCATCAATGTCCTCCACCCAGTGAGGATCCGTGACAGGCCTTTGCAACCTTCTGATTCAAGAAAACTACCTTAAGCAGCTTTTTCCACCACTGAAAGTGGTTTTTGCAGATCTCTTCCCTCCTTTAAGCCTCACAATAATTATATCAGGGAGTTGGGACATCTATTGTCAGGAACATTTCCACTATGAAGAAACTGAGGTTCAGAGATTGAACATCTAGCTCAGAATCATTCAGAGGTATAGACAAGACTAGACTCCCCACCGTCCACTATCGGTCCAGTGCCCACCACCCTACTTACACTTATGCAGCTAATAGGCATTGCTGATGACCTACTGTGTGCTGTCAGCCAGCAGCCACAGGAAATGATAAAGCTGAGGGAGATGAGCTCCTCCCCTCAGAGGATGTAATAGTTGCAGAGGAGAAACAAATAGGCAGAGAAGTTATATAAGACAGACATAGAATGGGGAGAGAAGTCACAGGGAGAAGTTAAACAATCACAACTCTTGTTTTTCCCTTTTCAGGGAAAAATGCAGAAGTTTGGGATTTTATATTCATTGAATGGAAACAGACATGTCTGTGAATTCTCCCAACCATAAAAAAAAAAAAAAAAAAAAACCCTGTTCTGTCAAGCTGTGTCTACACATCTACAAGGAGAAAATCTGTAACACTGCTTAGCCCTCTCAATTCCTTTAAAAAAAGACTCTCCAGTTGGGCATTTAGGAGCTAACAGAATTCTCCCAAAATTATGGCAGTAAAAGTCAAATTTATAGTTTAAAACCAACTCCTTTTTTTGTTGTTATTCAGAATTCTTTTTTTACTGTTTCAAGTTTTTATATAAATTCTAGGTAGTTAACATTTAGTGTAATATTAGCTTCAGGCGTAGAATTTAGTGATTCATCGCTTACATACCAGGGCTCATCACAACCAATTCTTTTTCAGTGGATTTCCATTTAAAACATTAAGCCTGGTTCTCATAAGAGCACCTTGCTCAGTCTGTTCGGATTGGCTAGTGGGGGAAGGTGTTCCTCATGCCCTGTGGGTGTCTCCAATTTCTGCATCACTTACTCAGGGTTGAGTGAGCTATGTGGGGCACACTTTGGGGAGGGTATGGGAGAAGCAGGTGAAAGTGGCACTTGGCTAGGAAAGCAAAGTTGAATCATCTGTGACTAGATTGATGTAGAGAAACAATGGGATCAACACATCAGGACCCTCTCAAACAGCTCTGTTGTGGGAGGTCACACTGCATGTCAGCTCCAGAAACAAGGCACTTGATGCTCCTCAGTCCATGGGCATCACGTCCCATGCCCCACTTATCACCATGGATGAGAACAAGGAGGAGTGGTTATATAAAAGAAGCAGCATCAGGTGGTATTCAGGTGAGTGGCAAGTAATGTAACTTGCCCTCTACCAGATATTCTAATTACAAGTGAAAAATGTCAATCAGTCCATCATTTCCCAGACTCCATATGCTGCTGTCCAGGAACCAGAACTCCCAGATGGCCCAGACACCATGCAGCTTGGCATCCAGGCATCAGCAGCAGCAGATGCAGGCTCAGACCCCAGAGAACAGCTGACCAGTCTGGCCACAGGCCAGACCATTGCTTACCTTGCCAAGGGGATGACCAGATTCTCCTCTCTCGAGCTGGAAAATAGGCTGAAACCTCTCAAGTGACTCGGGTAACAGGAAGAGGAGGTTGAAATGGAAAAAGCCAGTACAGACTGACTTGCCTCAATGGAGTAAAGGAATCAACTAGTTGGTCACCTGTCTTAAAGAATACTGAAAGTATATTCTAGTAAGTTAATCAAATTCCTTAAGTGTGACCAAGGGCCAAATTTATTTAGATAACAAAAATGTGATTTCATTGGAATCTTATTTCATTACCACTTTCTTGAATGTTCTCAACCACCCTATCAGGCAGAGTTTAAACCACACATCTCTGCAGGTAGCAAGAGCTGAACCTTGTGGACATGGACCCTCCAGGGAGAGGGCTCCTGGTGGGAAGCAATGTCCTCCATGCCTGTACATACAGCAGATGTTGGCACACTTTATCTGTAAACAGCCAGATAGTAAATATTTTGTGCTTTGCAAGGCCATATGGTCACTGTTGCAAGTATTCAACTCTTCCACTGTCGCATGAAATAAGCCACAGACAATACATAAACCAATGGATATGGCTACATTCCAAAAAAATTATTTATGAATACTAAGAAAGCAGACAACTTGAATTCATATTTTTATATATCATGAAATTTTATTACCCTTTTTTGATTTTTACTTTCAACCACTTAAAAATTGAAAAACTCTTCTGAGCCCATGGGCCATACAAAACCCAGCAGCCTGCCAGATCTGGCCTGTAGGCTATAGTTTGCTCACTTCTACCATACGTTCATGGAAAGCAGCCCTCCATTTGCCAAGGAAAAGTAAATTGCTATATTAGACCCTTCCTTCAACTACCCAGAGACCTTCGCCTCAAAAATGAACAACAAACAACTCCACAGCCCTTAATTAAGTTGTTTTAAATGTCCATGTCCCAGCAAGGAAATGACAAGAAAAAAACACCTCATACTGGTCAAATTGACTCAAACACAGACAATGAATTCATCATTCATTGAGAACCCCATGCACTGGGTCCAGGAACTAACTGACCACTGAGTCCTAACCCCCTACAGCTCAGGGCCAACTCCCAGGTGCTGCACTTTCCCCACAGGACTCAGCCCATAATGATTTCTAAGCAGGAGTGTTCATTATCTCAGACTGATTTCCATTTCAGCTCTGCTCATGCCATTGCTCTAAAAATGATCCGAAAGACTGTTGACTGTTTGAATCAATAGCAACATAATCAGTAGAAAGCCCTACCCAGCACATTTCAAAATTAGCAGTCTACTTGGCTTTATGATTCAATATTAGCAAGAGAAAGAAAAGAGGACTTTTTAACCATACTCTCATTGAAATTAACCAAATCAGTTTTAGAAGAAAGTGAGGGAGTGAGTTTAATTCTTTGAAATAATTTACAAGTGAAAAGTACATGATTTTTAGATACAATCATTTTCAGGCCTTTGGGGCATCTCCAAAGCCCCTGCAAAATACTTTGGAGAGCTACGGACAGTGCAAGATCCTCTATCTGCATCAGGCTTTTATAGAGGCTGACAAGCCAAAGCCCTTGGCACAATTTAATTTTCGTGTAATCACTTTCCACTGACCAACTCTAGGCAAAGGAAATGAGCAGTGAAAGTTTTGAAGTCTACTCCAGCACCTTCATTCCCCTGCCTTTATTTACTTTATAAATTTATTCTGTACCTACTTTACAGGTCCTTCTCTAGTTTTCCTTTTGGTACCAACTACAAAGGAGAGTTGGCTTTACAAGAGCTATGGACTAGATGTCAAACTTGACTCTCTACCAGGAAGACCCAAAAAGACACAAGAAGTTACCTCCACCAGCACCCCAGAAAGCAATCAGACATTCCCTGGATGCCATTAGTGAACAGATGGGATTCTATGTTTGCAGCTATGTTCAGTGTAATTCAGCAAATCCTTGTTGAGCACCCGTGGTGTGCCAGGCCCTGTGCCAGAAACGGGGGAATGGTGAATGGATGAGGCACAGCCCTGCCCAGGAGAGTCTCCTGGTCTCATGAGCTGTTGGCATGTTTCCTTTGCAGTCCTGGAGGCTGTCTGAGAGAAGTTGGGACTGGTGCAGACAGAAGTTTGGCGTTGGGGGATGTGAGTAACTTACTTTGGCAGTTCTCCACCCTAAGTTAGATGGTAGATGTGATTCTAGGAGCCCTGACACACATTGCCAAGGCAAGAGAGGAGGAGAGCTCTAGGGAAGCAGGCAATGCCCCAACCATACCCTGGTCACCTATGGATGAAAGCCAGTCACCCTGCCCATCAGGTGGATAGCACATGGCTGACGGCTGAGATTCAGCAAAACTAGGCCAAAGGAAGTTAATTATGAACAGCAGGATGAATTCTTAAGCATGAATACCTGGAAAGTAACCCAGGTACAGGGGCTGGTATGTGCCAATTTCCAATGCAGGAAAAGCCTGATGTGAGGGAGTTCCCCTGTGGCCTGAAGTCAGAGCTGAGGAGGGAAGAAGGGCCTGGCTTTGTAGGACCTGCTAAGGGGCCACAGGACACTGTAGAGCAGAGGTCCTCAAGGTGTGTCCCTGGACCAGAGCATCATCTGAGAATAAATGAGAAACGCAAAAACTTGGGATCCACTGAAGAGCTACTACACCACAAACCAGGGGTAGGGCCCAGCTGTTTTAAGGCTCTCTGATCCTGATACACACCAAGGTTTGAAAGCCACTGATAGAGAGGATGACAGTGACTTCCACTGGCACTGGGACAGGAGGACTAATAGGATAAGGCAGTCGATCACTGGGGTGGAAGACAGGGGGCTAAAGCAGACTTCCCCAATGAACCTTCCAGGGCCCTCCAGACTCTAGTCCATATTCCCTTGAAGGAGTGATTTCAAGGAACTTCAAGCCTAGTCCCAACTCCACTCCTCGTATGGGGCAGAAGCTTCCTCCTGCTCGTCTGGCCCCTTTCATCTGGGAGATAGACGCAGTCCAGGAGAGGCTACAGGGAGGCCACCCATCCCTAGGGAGGCTGCCTTCCAGAGTCCCATAGATGAGCAGCCTCCTGAAGGGCCATATTTTAGGGAAGATGATTAAACGGTAGCAGTGTCCTTATATCACCAGGAGAACTGGCCCTAATACAGCCTGTATGCTGTGGAGCCACCAGGGTCTACATAGTGGAGTGGGGTCATGTAAGGACACTGCCAGCTTACTGCAGTGCTGCTCCATCTGTAATGGGACCAGGGCATGCAGCATCACAATCCAAACACAAAATTGGATAGAGAATGAATGGCTTTTCTTGGAAGGGCAGTGACTCACTGTGGAGGATACTAAATCTAGAAAGCAAAACCCAAAATAACAAACCTGTAGCATTCTCTACAGACAGAATCCGTGTTGACCTTGGCATCTCTATCACCTGCAAAGTGCCGATCTCCACCAATTCCCTTTCCCCCTACCTCCCAGAAGCCTTAGGTCTGCTGATTATTGATTTAGGTTTTTGATTCATGGTTTAAACTCTGCAAAGGTGTACAACTTTTTGGGAGAAACTAGTTGGCATTCTATCAGTCATTTACACCTACGTGTGGTGCAGAATCTGTCCTCACAGAAGGATTCCTGACACTGGGAGTCAGAGGATCTGGGCACTGGGTCTTGGGGTGGAAGGGCAGAGGAGGAGTGGGCTGGGAGGGAACCCAGCAATGTAGCCTTGGAGAACATGCCCCTGCTGCTTAGTTCCTACGAATCCAATTCCTTTTTGATCAGAGGCATATTCATGGTCCCATCAGCCACGTCCTCACTGAGTCTTCCCAAATGCCCTAAAGGAGATCTCTAGCCCAGTTTGTGGAAACTTCTTCTGACTAAATGCCCAAACAATCCCCTGAGACTACAGTGATCATATCAAGAGCAACCATCTTAACATCATTTGTTAAGGCCATTACATTAGATTACACTCAAAAGAACCAATAGAGTTTACCAGATGTTTGTGAGAGGCATGGGGGAGAGCAATCCCAAGAGGTGTTCATGTCACTTAGGTCCAGAAC